TCGTTTGAAGTAAGCGGGATGGCGCCAGATGGAGGAAAAATTGGTGGCGGGATTTGCTAACCCTATTTTAGGCCCTTGTATCACACTCATGATTTCAAGTTTTTGCGCATTCTTCATTAATTTCTCCACATTATCGCTATATTTAAGGTAATTTATCACGGATTTTATGCTACTATCTAGGAATTATCGGCACCGGACTTATGTAAATGTCGATATTTGCAATGATTGTTTTATCGAAAGAACCAAATGGCACTTTTTGCTAACTTCTGTACCTTGATCGAGTCATTCAAGAGCTCTAATTCACGGCTGCGGATTAATTTGCTCAAAATTACTTTGCCATTTAAGTTGACAGATCAAGCTCTAGTCAAGGAAGCCATTTGTATNGGTGGCGGGATTTGCTAACCCTATTTTAAGCCCTTGTATCACATTCATGATTTCAAGTTTTTGCGCATTCCTCGTTCATTTCTCCACATTATCGCTATATTTAAGGTAATTTATCACGGATTTTATGCTAGTATCTAGGAATTATCGGCACCAGACTTATGTAAATGTCAATATTTGCAATGATTGTTTTATCGAAAGAACTAAATGGCTCTTTTTGCTAGCTTCTGTACCTTGATCGAGTCATTCAAGAGCTCTAATTCACGGCTGCGGATTAATTTGCTCAAAATTACTTTGCCATTTAAGTTGACAGATCAAGCTCTAGTCAAGGAAGCCATTTGTATCAACTGAGAATTAATCCAAATCCAAAAGCAAGTGATTATATCACAAAACATCGAGATTCTTTGTATTGCAAATGTTACTGGTTTATGGTCTGCTGACAAAATAATAGTTTAGTTGAAACATATGATCAGCATGAGCGCCTACGGTTATGCTTATCTTTGCGATCGTAAAATCTTACGATGTTGGAGATGCTGCATGAAGCAAACGTACGCTTCATACGGATAGCAATAATGTTCAGGCTCTTTAACGAGATAAAAAAAACGCAATGAACGGCTACTGCTTTTTCCTGGTCACTGTGTTTTAGATCGACCAGATTATTTGCTTCGATCGAAAGTTTTCGGTTTTCGACCCAACAAATGCTACATTTCGATTCCCAGACACCATGTTTGTGTATCGCAAGTTAGCGCTGGTTTTTGTCATAATAATAGGACCTGTCATTCTTAACCAATCAGAATGCTGCACAGAATGTTTCGTTCATGGTCGAACAAGCTGTATTCAGAAAACAATAGTGTCGGTGCGGACTCTTATTTTCGGCAGCTCACTTCGCTGACCGACTCTTCTCTGGTCTGGGTAGGGGTTTTCAGCCGTTTTGGTCATAAATAGGGTATCGATTTTGGCCTGGTCTTAAATAGGGTCATGGTTTTAGCACTCTAGTCTTGAATTGGGTATGTTTTTAAGAAGCCACTTTTTCATCATTATCGAAAAGAAAATCAGCAAAAACCCCTCACAAATAATGTTTACGGTAATTTAACATTGGTCTAAACTAGGGAACTAATTATGACGCGGGTTTGATACAGGATTTTGATTTAGGGTCAGGTCATGAATAGGGTATCCAATTTTTGGTCAGGTTATAAATAGGGTAGGGAAAATCGCAG